AACTCTATGTTCCTCCCTCTTCTGGAAATAGGTGTTACCTACAATGATTGCCATCCTCTTAGCAAAGTCCACCACCATCTGTCCTTCTAGTTTCCTTCCCTTAACACCAAACCTGCCCATCACCTTTGTTCCCCTCACCAACGTGCCTGTTGAAGTCACCACTCTCTCCCCTCTGGGAATACTCTCCATCACCTCATCTCACTCACTCCAGAATCCCTCCTTCTCTTCTAACTCACACCCTACATGTGGAGCATAACCACTGACTACATTCAACATTACCCCTTCAACTTCCAACTTCAAACTGATCACCCTGTCTGACACTCTTTTCACCTCTAAAACATTCCTCACGAGCTCCTCCTTCAAGATCACTCCTACCCCATTTCTCTTCCTGTCCACACCATAATAAAACAGTTTGTATCCCCCTCCAATGCTATGCGCTTTGCTAGACTTTCAGAAAGCACTTCATTTAATCTTGGTAACTGGCCACAGACATTCCAGGTGTCCATCCTGCTCATGATCTTCAATCTTAGCTTGAATTAAGATTATCCGGGCCTGTTATTGGGGCTTGGTACCCAATCTCTGATTGTGGGGGTGATGATATCTCCCCCCTGACCTGGCATCCTGACTCCCCCTTGTTGTACTTCGTCAATCTTTAGTTGGGATAGCAGGTGCTTCTTGCAGATGTTAGAGCACTGAGCTACTAGTTGTTACAAAATATCCATAGGTCTCACATCCTCCGTATGTAACCCCTCTCGCTGGAGTTAATTGTGTAGTAGCATTCCAATAGTGCCCTGTTCCCCTCTTGAATGTCTTGTTCCAGTAGCCCACCCTTCTTGAATGTCTTGTTCCAGTAGCCCACTTGTCATCAGGTTGCCCTGGTTCCTCAACACCTGATGCGGACCTTGAGGACCCGGGCGACGTCCGAGCTGGTGTGACTCTTATTTTTCCTATGCTCATTACCCATGAGGTAGGCAGGTAGCATTAAGGGCCTTGCCTAAGGACCCAGGCTGGATATTGACCGCGCCCTGACCAGGGTTCGAACCCCCGACCTTCCATACCAAAGACAACTGGGCTGAGCTATCCAGTCAGATATATATATGTGGAGGGAGGGAGAGAGAGATTTATTCTGTTAAGCTCAAGAATTCAACATTTAAGAAATTTCAAATTTCGTCAAGTAAACTAAAAATCAAACTTTTTTTTTAGCTTTGTAGTGACTAGGTTTTAACCCCACAGCAACTGTCTATTGCCATCACAAAAACACTTCTGAAATGTGTTAAGACATCAGACCAAAACCTGCAATCCTATTTTACAATGCTTGTTTCTTACAGTCGAATTGACATGCAGTGTTTGTGCATATGCTATTGATATTTACATGACTGCACACATTTTGAGCATGGGTGAACAAAGCAGTCAGAGCGTGATCAGTTATTGAATGTGACTGCTCCACATGGGCAGTCAAACTCTGTGCTGAGCTCTGAAATTAGCTCCAGAGATTCAGTTTCTACAGCCTGATATGGATCAAAATACATTCAAACGCCCTGGATGGGATTTCTCCTTATGCTTTCAATGTTTCACATGCACAGATACATAGAAAGCATGAATCTCTGCAATGTCACAGTCAAATAAGAATTTTATTGCATTTGTTCTATGCAGACACTTTTTGAGATGCTAATAAGAAAACCACCACTGTTACCTGCATTCAGAGCCAATTTTAAGACGACAAACAGTTGGTGATTTGTAAGAAAAATGCTGGCCCTTGTTTTAGATGAAGCTACATTTTGGGGAAACATACAGCAGCTTACAGAGATACTGCACCATATAAACCAACCTAAATATCACTTGGCACAGAAAAACCCTCTAATTAACATGTTCTTTGGGATTAATCTGGCGCATCTGAAGCTACAGCATAAAACCACAGGCATAAACAACAGACTCTCCACAGCCTTTTCAATACATCGACATGACTCAGAGGTTTCCTGCCACATGTTATGTGCACAGCAATGGGATACATATTTTGCATATCCAAGGTCCAAGGCAAGACGGGAGTGTCAGGACTCTCCAAACCAGATGACAGAGAAAAGTATTTCTCAATGAGATGTGCCATGTGACAAATCTGTAATACTATCCATTTGTTGTTTTGAGATGGTTGACTTTGTTCATGGGAGGGGAAGTGGAAAAAGTGTTGCACATTCCAACCACTCCCCTTAACAACGTGCTGAAAAACTCCTCAGCGTCTGAGCAGTGCAAAGTCAGACAAGCAAAAACAAGACAGCATGCTGCAGCACAGGTGGGCTTAACAGTTGTTGAGTGGGAGACAGATGTCTGCTAGGGGTGTAAAGATGAACAAATATGAATTTGAAAATTGATACAAGAAACCACAGATTCAAACTAAAAGAGTTTTAAAAACTGTCTAAAATCACTGTGCTCCACTTTAGTGTGTGCATGCACCCTCTCTTGCCAGTGTTCAAACACACTTCCTTCTTAACAATGCAGGTCCAGAAAAAACGCTGCACATAGTACAGATAGCTGCAGGAGCAAACAGTGCTTGTTTTAGCAGTTACCTCAGAGTGCAGAACATGTAGCACTTGTGTCAAGTAGCCTATACCGCGAGTACCAAGGACCTCACAAGTAGAAATGTTATGAAGGCAACACACTGTTGAACTGATGGAAAGAGTACAGTTAGGTGTGAGAACAGTAGGCTTGAGGCAAGCAACAATAGTAGTGCTAGCAGCCAACGCTGTGTTCAGAGTGCAGAACATGCACAATTGTGTTGATATACCGGCATGAGTAACACAGACCTCACTAGTAGCAATGTTATGAAGGTAACACATTGTTGAACCGATGGAAACAGAATAGTTTGCTGCGAGGGAGTGTTAGCGTTGTTAGCAGCTATTTTGAGAGCACGTCAGCTGATAATTCCACCCTGTTGGGTTGAAGTCAATAACTGAAGCTAAAAGCCATTTAATTTGCAAAGACATGCACCTGTGTTTTTGAAAATGTGGGATTTGGACAAACCATAATGATTCTGAAGCTGAGGCACACAATAACAAGTCAGCAGGATTTCAGTGAAAAATGCATTCCAGCTCTGTATGATAAGGTGAAACAGCAGCTAGAGGTTTACTGTTCACCAGTGGCCATTGTTTACTATTGTTAAAAAGAGTAGACATGTTTTATCTATTTGGCTTTTGCTGCTTGAAATACAAAACTGCTTTTTAATTTCATACCCTAAACAGACACTTTATTGTATGTATAGTCTTTTGAATAAAAGCTAAATTAAAATTGATTATCTGCTGAATCAAAATCACTCTGAACCCTATCATCACACATTTTGCAGTATCGTTTTTGTACCTAATTGTGGACCATACATCGAGATATGTATTGAATCATGTGACAGATACGCAACCCTAATGTATACAGTGCTTTATTTAATCTGAATAACTTCAGCAATTTCAGAGAACATTGCCCTCAAATTGGCACAGTCCTGGTGACTAACTGCTTAGACAGTAAGAATGGTGCCGCCAAGTCTAGAGAGGGAAATAAAATGACTCTCAGCCCTACTGCAATGTCCCACCCATCCACAAAATTTGTCAAAAAGTTGACATTAGCCACTAAGGCTATAAACTAAGCATTATCAATCCAGTCAAACTTTAACAACTTGGATCAGAAAGGCATTTTAACATTATCTGCAAACCAAACACTCATTTATTAAGACAACTTTTTTTTCTTACTCTTCGATCTGTGTTGGACTTGTGCTCTAAAATTCCCCTCACACTAATCAAAGTATCCTATCTAGACAGTGATGGGCCTACCTGTACGCTAGCCTGGACAGCCATGACTGCAATGACAGATGATTCACTTCTTCATTCTGTGGAACAATAAAACAGAGAGGGCTGTGAAAGAGATTATGTCTGTTCAGAGAGAGTGTGACTGAGGAGGTTTAGGACATACCATAATTATCACCTCATGAAGTTTTTTTAGTCTTGCACTTATTTCAGACATGTGGCTCTTTTCTCTGTCTGTCTGTCTGTCTACATTACCTCCATTAATGTCATACTGATTCTTCTACAAACCAACTCAGCTTTCAACACACAAAAGTCAGTCAATGGTCTTTTTTAAATCCAGTGTGTAATCCAATTTGCAAGAAATTCAAATGTTGAAGTTCTGGTGGGTCAGCTGGACAAGATGAATACCATGTAGTAGTGATGTCCCACGTTGTGATAAAGTAATAGAGGAACACTAGGACTTTTAAACAGGACATAAGCTGCAAATAGACACTCAGAATGCACTTCAGGAAAAAACAAAACAAAACAAAAAAAAACAACAAAAAAAAAACAAAAAAAAAAAAACAAAAAAAAACAAAAAAAAAAAAAACACACAGGACATTGTTTTTATTGAACATATTTTACTGAACAAATGTTAGTAGAGAAGACGTTCTCTCCCAAAGAAGTGATGGGGTTAGTCTGACTGCTCCTCTCTGCCCTTTCCCCACACAGGATGTAAAGGACTACTCTGATGCTCAACCGTCACCAAGGCTGTGTGTTTGACAAAGAGAGGCATTGGGTGGGGAGGGGAAGCAATTACAAGCACATAGATCCTAATAATAGTGATAATTTGGTCAACACAGCTGAGGCAATAGTCCCAACACCACCATTTCCCCCATCCTCCACAGACATGTACACCTAAAATTCTCCACCAAAATACATTTGTGAAACTTCTACCCTGCAGTTTAAATCCATGTTTCTTCACACTGATGTCATTATGCACAAAGTGATAAAAAAAACAATGTTAGAAAGAGTAAACCTCCTGTACCCTTAACTAAAGATGCCTCCATAACCACAGACACTAAAACCACATCCTCAGCTGCTCATCAAAGGCCTGTCAGAGGGTGTCGCATCCAGTCATTGAACATCAGAACTGCAGCTCGAAGGAGAGAAGATGCAAGTCAGTGACCAAGGACAGGATGGATGACAGCACAACACAACTTACCTCAAAACAAAAACATTATGCCACCGAGCAAGGAAACTGCACCACACAACTCTAATCAGCCTCAAAAGCATGTCTTCATCAACACTGAGCCAAATCTGTGATATGCCGAGCGCTCAGGTCCTGCCTCTGTGGTTCCATGAGTGAGCAAG